CTATCAAATCTCGTATCCGTCTGGAAAGAGTCAGGCTCCAGACTACTCATTTAAGAATCGTTGTGACTAAACAATCGCAGTTGTGCTGAAAATGGAAAGCATACAGAATCGGAAGTGCAACAGGTAGTTGGGTGTGGCGGGTGAAACTGGGTAAAAGCTGTTCGCAGGTGGATGCTGAAGACTTACCAGACGGAGCCGGACCTTGTGTGGCGCTAATCTCGGCCTCGGTTATCAAACGGAGATAGTCTTCAAAAGAAGCCTCAGCTGCTCCCAAAAACGAAGGGTACCAGTCGGTGAGCATTGTCGGCACAGTTTTGAGTCTTTGTAGCCGGCAAGCGAAGCATACATGTCAATATATACAGATGAACCCAGAAACTATGAACTGTTGCAGAGAGCTCGCAACCTCGAGTCCGTAAAGTGGGAAGAGAGGCTAAACGGTGTTGGTTGGCCGGTCTAAAAAGAAGAGGGATGGGATGACCTACAGGTTGCTCGTTAAGCGGCGCTAAAGCCAGTTGAGTGGATGAGAAACATGCTCATAAACATGAAGCCCGACTGGCTTCCCACCCGAAGGATGGGGTGGAATGGGAGTCTGGCCAGGAGTGAACAAATGTAGGCTCATAGCTGTGAATGTTTGTGTGTGTGAGGCCTACTTGATGTGGCCATCGGGGACAGACAGTGAAAGTTGCCTAGGCCTGCTCATCTCGGGTCCATGAACTGGGATCGAGAGTTTGAGACCATCTCGAAGCCGACCAATCGGAGATGAAGCAACCAGGACCAACCAAACGCGTTGCGCAAATGCGCCCGATTAACTTTTCCATTCAACATAGCCTCGAGGCTCAAAGACCAAACCCGATTCGACTCAGAATAGCCAACAATCTGCGCTCAACTTGGTCCTATAGACAGCCAGCAAACCACGTATTATTCAAATAGCTTTAAGCATCACGCTGGGTCGCTCAAGATGATGAAGAATTGACGTTGCATTTTCCCATAATCGCATGAACAAATATCAAGATTCTGTTAAATTTTCCTTATACTTGCCTCTTAAAGGCTATTCTCATTCCGGCTGGACTCGACTCTGCTTCGGTATTATCAGCGCCTCAAATGGG